TCTCTTGCATATTATCTCTTTCTACCATTCTCCAACTCCCCAATCACTTCCATTCACCCACTCACTTTCTTTCCCTCTCTGTGTTTAGCTCTAATAAATTCTACCCTTCTCCTCCAATAACTTCCTTTTACTTCCTCTCTGGCTCGGCACTCAGGAAACAATCAGAGCTGTTGAAGAGCCTGTGAGAGAGAGCTGCTCGACAGATGAGAAAAAAATTTTAAACTACCAAGACAGAGAGTGAATTTAGGGATAAAACGCTCTTACTCAACTAAGAGCACTAAAATTGCTCTTTACATGAACAGTAGCACCTCGTGGAAATAACCCTTGATGCATACGAGACAGCTAAACATGAATCTCTGCAATATTAACAACTTCATATTCCTGACTTTCAACATTATCCACCGGAGTGACTTTCCAGGACGGCTGTCTGCTCTCAGATCTCTCCATATGGTTTACTCTAGTCCTGATTCAGTCAGCAGAGGAAAGACTGACACAAAGACCTCCGCGTGCGCCAGAGGACTCGCTCGAATGTCTGATTCAGCACTTTCCGCGGAAAATCGTCAGGCGAATTTGTGAAGGAGTGCTCTTGCATGACTTGGTCATTTAGTGGCTGAGGCAGGGGCTCAAGCCAAACCCCACGAAAACCGAAAAGACATGCATAAAGAGACGAATGCTCACAGGACTCTTGGTATAGCAGAGAGAAAGAGGCCCCATGTGCTGATCTCTGAGTCACACTTCTATGCCAAAAACAGAGGAAGACATAGATAGCTCATAAAACTCAAAAACCGACAAAGATTTGGTGTAGAAACAGTTTTCACTCAGTAATTTCAATTAACTACAATGAAATTGCAAATAAACATGACATTTTAAAGACTGAAATTATATTTGCAATCTGATTCTTGATTATTAAGATTAGATTAAAACTGATCTTTTAACATCTTATCTTTGATTTCCAAATCAAATATGGCAAAAGTATAAAATATAAATCACCAAAAAAGCCAAATCAATTAGTTGCATCTACATTTTAAACATTTGTTTTTTAAAAATCCAAAACTAGAGAAGATGCATTTGATAATATAATCAAAACAATAACAGATTTTACAAAGAAAAGTAGCCTAATTGTTTCTTGCAAAGTGCAATGCTAGGGTATTTACTAGGTGGATATCTACTGGTCCAAGTCAAAGAGTCCCTCCTTCAAGGTAGATTTAGGGGAATTTTTCATCCGTTTCATCATATGCCAGGTGAAAATCATCAAGTCCGTTCCCTGACAGTAACACCACACATTTCTTTAATATGCCGCATTATATGAGACATCGTCAATCTCTGTAGCACAAATGGTGCGAGACAAGTTATACGTCAAAACCAAAAGGCTACTTCACTCAAAAATTATAATTAGGTCATCATTTATTCACCAACATGTCGTTCCAAACCTATACAACATACTTTCTTCTGTGGAAAACAAATGATGATATTTCAAAAACTAAATGGGGTCTAAAAAAATACTGGACCCCATTGACTTTCATTTATCAAAATATCATACAGGTTTGGAACAACGTGTGTGTAAATTCCAATATAACGCTTAGGTTTTGGGGTTAGTTTGAATTACTAATCCTAAATATGAGCACTATGTATAAGTTAATTCAAAGTATATTACTTTTGTGATATGACATGACAAAAATGGCAACAATGTTCACTGTAATGATTGTCACACTCTGATAACCATCACATGAAAGAGCTTCTTAATAAAGAATGACAGATAAATGCAACCACTAGACAGAAGGCCAAAAATAATAAACTTGCCTTCCGTTTTCAATTCAGATTATTAGATTAGATGCAACTCAGGTGCATGTTTGCACGGAGCGTAGCTGACTGCCACATGAACCCCAGTGCGCTGCCACAAACAGTTGGTTTCAAGAACAACTGGAAAGTTTAGCAACTTCAGACAGACAGAAACAAAGGCTATACTGTTCTAGCCCACAGTGCCCTTCCCTCAAGTCGAAAACAGCCACAAAGAAGCCAAAAAAATCTTATCTGCCAATGCCTCACACAGGAAATGTATGCAAACAAGTGTCCCGAGAGTGAGCATTAATTTTCAGAGCAATCTAAACACTTTCATGAGCCGTCTCTCCATCATAATTAATAAAGCATAGCGACACATTGTGTGTGCTTTGGCTCGCGTCTCGCCGCAGGCTCCTTCGACCACGACGTGGAAAAGGACTTTAATTTGAAAAGGAAAAATTACATTTTGGGGAACTGAAGACCATGTAAAATGCTTCCTTCTGCAAACATGGGGCGGTGAGGAGGCCAAACGGCAGCGCATCATGTAAGATGTTCTCTTTCTCCCAAATGCTTGAAAACACACACACAGCTAGATATTTGTTCAGAGCTCTGTTGACAGACAGGTAAGTGGTCACCATTTGGAGAGCCACTTCTGCGGCGGGTGCTAAAAGGCCGCTTCAGTCCGCACAAATGGAAAGAGGTTCATTAAGCTCTCAGCTAGGCCCTTAACACAAACCAGCTAAAGGAATTGTCAACTGGCCAGCAACATAAACACATATGGCACAAACAATCTGCTCCGATCGCACACTCTCGATCTCTTAAGGAGGATACGCTCTGGACTTTCTGCATCGAGAACTGCTACAAATGCCGTGGAGATGATTGCAAACTTCAGGACCAGTTTGGGGATTGGATTGAAAGCTTGGCACAAGAACAAACAAATCATTAAAACTGATTTGTTAGCTTATTAAACAGTAAAGCTCTTTTTAGAGCGGGAGAGAAAAAGCAGACGTTGAAATGACGTGTCTTCGCTCGGCAAAGCCTGACAGCAGAGGGAGTTCAGGGTTCGTTTGTGATGTCTGAACAAAATGAGAACAGCAAATTTGCAGCTAAACAACAAATGTGGCCCATCGCGGAAGCCATAAAAGGCAATGCACGGCATCTGTTTAAATTCACCCTCAAAAAAAGTATGTTTGCTTAAAACATGTTGCCCGCAAAACAATCGGGAAAAACGTACAATTGTGCATAAACTGAATAGAAAATCACCTCCGTTCCAGTGCAAACCTCGTCAATGGGAAAAAACATGTTCTGATTTAGAATTCTGTGCAAAACAATACTTGGGAAATCTTTTAATTTCAGAAATGTGCTTTTGCAAACTTTAAATTGTATTATGTGTAATGTCAGCATTATATGCCTTCATCAATACTATATGACATTATATGATCTTCATCAATACTGATCAATGAAAATTGCATAAGGGACAACTAACTCTAAAACTAGACAGCTTGAGCTTACATATTTACCCAAGGAATGAATGAATGAATGAATATATATATATATATATATATTTACCGCGTGACTTACAGTAAATTGCGTATATCACGTAAGTGGCAAATACCATGACAGGTTGCCTGGAGTGCATGCCACAAGCTAAACTAGACTAAACTTCCTGGAACAAACTTAGTTAAGAAGCCGTGACATTCAGTAATGTGAAACCGAACCTCTGATGTGTAAATCTCTTGTTGGGTCTCATTGGTTGTTGATCAGACAATGGGGTAACATCTCAATAAATTTCAGAAGACAAAAATGCAAACGTGTTTTGGACTCAAGAGCAAGAAAAAGATTTGGCTTTTAATCCAAATGTAAACAACAAAATGGAGTTAATAAATTGGAGCACAATTTAGTTACTTCCACTGTTGACTAAACTAAAACCAAAACAACATCTGGTCTACGTACTGACTCTTTAAGGATATACAACATGCATTATAAAAAATGAATTACACAAAACAACAATCACTTCTAAACACAACCTGACCTATATCTAGCTATATGTTGACCATGTTTTGAGAAGCCCAACCTTTCTAAAAGCAGGAAAAGCATAAGACAACCTAATCAAGCAGCAGAACTTGAAGAGGCAGTTTGGGCTGAACTGACTAAGTTCAACCTGAAGTGCAGCATTTCTGTTTAACGAAACCTGTCCATTAATAGTAACTCAGAGGAACAATACAAATGTGGAGAGCATCGTTACATATGTGTGGGGTGAACTAATAACGAATTAACATATTCATTCACCCTGAAAAAAACAACAACCTGTAAAACTGAAATTAATACACAGATGAGACGGAAATGTTTGATAAGATTCATTAACCCTCTTGTTGTCTTAAGAAACTGCATCCTCCTGTGATCCTCGAGTCAAATTTGTGTCACATTCAAAAATGATTAAATTCATGAGGGTCTAAAGACTCCCAAGGACAGTGTATTTAATCCGCTTGCAAAGTATATGATGTTGGAAAAGAAAAACTTTTTTTAAATTTCATAGGCACAAAACAACAATCACTTCTAAACACAACCTGACCTATATCTAGCTATATTTTGACCATCTTTTGAGAAGCCCAACCTTTCTAAAAGCAGGAAAAGCATAAGACAACCTAATCAAGCAGCAGAACTTGAAGAGGCAGTTTGGGCTGAACTGACTAAGTTCAACCTGAAGTGCAGCATTTCTGTTTAACGAAACCTGTCCATTAATAGTAACTCAGAGGAACAATACAAATGTGGAGAGCATCTTTACATATGTGTGGGGTGAACTAATAGCGAATTAACATATTCATGTGAAGGACTAAACTCAAAATACTTCGGCCTCACCCTGAAAAAAACTGAAATTAATACACAGATGAGACGGAAATGTTTGATAAGATTCATTAACCCTCTTGTTGTCTTAAGAAACTGCATCCTCCTGTGATCCTCGAGTCAAATTTGTGTCACATTCAAAAATGATTAAATTCATGAGGGTCTAAAGACTCCCAAGGACAGTGTATTTAATCCGCTTGCAAAGTATATGATGTTGGAAAGGAGTAAGTAATAAAATCTGTGTTTTTCAATAATATTAATGTTCTATGTTTAATTTAAAACATCTATATAACTCATTAAATGAGCTTATCACTGTATTTAAAACCATCTGTAAAACCAAGTGATTAACCAGGTCAAATACTGCATGGTTCTCAGACCCTTAGAAGGCCATCATCATCATCATCATCATCATCATCCAGCATTCTTAACGGTTACACACACAAAACACAGCACAACTGCCAAAAATACATAGAAATGTTTTTTTTTTTTTAAAGGAATAGTTCACCCAAAAAATAAACATTTTCAAAACTGTACTCACCCTCAGGACAGCCAAAATGATTTTGTTTTTAATGGGAGAAGATTTTGAGAAATGTAGCATTCCATCACTTGCTCACCAATGGCTCCTTTGCAGTGAATGGGTGCCGTCAGAATGAGAGTCCAAACAGCTGATAAAAACGTCACAATAATCCACAAGTAATCCAATCCATCAATTAACATCAAACCATTGCCTCCGGTTCCGGCTTCTCTATCCACAATAATGCTATTTCTAGTGAAAAAGTCGTCTTGTTTGAATCCGAAGAGAAATATGCAGAAATCAAGCACCGTTTACATGCCAAAACAGCTCTAAACAAATTTGCTGATGGATTTTGATGTGAGAGGACAACAGGAGATGGACTTTTTCATTGGTGTTATTATAGATTATGGACTCATTTTTTTTTTTATTTTTTGCTGGAAGTAAATTTAAAATGCCATAATGATGGATTTGTTTCTTACAAACACGCAGCTTTTTTCACAAGACGTTAATTGATGGACTGGAGGGGTGTGGTTTAATTGTGGATTGTGACGTTTTTATCAGCTGTTTGGACTCTCATTCTGACGGCACCCATTCACTGCAGAGGAATGAAAAAAAAAAAAAAAAAAAAAATGAAAATTAATAAATAAAAATATTTATAATTGAATAAATAAAATAATTATATATAAATAAATAATTATAAATAAATAGTTGTTTTTAACTTACACTACGTGGTCGAATGGGGACTCGTTCTCCGTCTTTGGTCATGCCAGGAATAATTACAATCATTCGCCTTGGTCCTTTCATGCCCAAAACATTTGTTTCCTAAAGCCACAATGCAAATTAATGTTAGTCAAATATAACATGCATTAAGTAACAGCTTAGTGTTTCAACCAAAATGACAGTGGTTACAGTGGATGTTGCCTTACATAGATAATAGCTGCTAATTCCTGCCTCGCGTTAGACATGTCCGGCAGAGCTCTGTCTGGATGCAGTGCATTATCAAACACCGTGAACTTAGTTCCCATCAGATTTGACCTGAAATATACATGCAAACATCCTTTAAATCAAAGAGACTGTGTTATAGACCTGTCCGAGAGGAGCAGCTATAATGGCAATGGTAAGCAAACCCACTTACCTCAGCTTCCCAATGAAGTTTTCCCCTCCTCTGGAGAGGTCGGTCGGGTCAATGGAGATCAAGTAGTTTGAGGTTGTGCTCTTTTTCCTCTTTCTTCCCGATAACAAAAATACCTGGATGTAAGATGGACATCAGAATTTGTAACAACATCTGAAATCAAATGATTCTAGATTGATAAGATACATTTTGGTCAATTTGAGATGTTTTTTTTTAAAGAAATTAATACTTTTATTCACCAAGGATGCATTAAATTGATCAGAAGTGACAGTAAAGGCATGTATAATGTTACAAAAGATTTCTATTTTTAAAAAATGCGGTTAAGAATCCTGAAAAAATGCATCACTGTCTCCACAAAAATGTGAAGCAACACAACATTGATAATAATCAGAAAAGTTTCTTGAGCAGCAAATCAGCATATTAGAATGATTTCTGAAGGATCATGTGACACTGGAGTAATGATGCTGAAAATTCAGCTTTATAATCACAAGAATAAATTACATTGGAACATATAATCACACAGAAATTTCACAATATTACTGTTTGATCAAATAAATGCAGTCTTGGTCCAGATATAAGACTTCTTTCAAAAAACACCATGAAGGCCTATACAGATAAATATAGATGTCGTACTTTCTTCTCGTTGTCCAGGTGCAGGTAGTATGTTGGGTAAAGGCCTCGGTCCATCCCTCTCTTGTCGCGGGTCACTTTGCACCTTACCGTGACGCCCTGTTGTGCAGGCTGAAGTACGAACTCCTCCAGATTGTCAAACTCGATGGGAGGAGAAGGTGCTCGCTCCTCCTTCACAGGAATAAGAGAGGTCATCTTAGAAACTGTTACCATGGTAATCATAGTTCCCGCCCAAAAACCACATGTGCGCTATCGTTACTTGAGAAAAAGGATAATAAACAAATACCGGAATGAGAATAATGTGAAATATAATGAATTAACCTTTTTGCCTTTTTTCCCTTTGCCCTTTTTCTTTTTCTGCGTCACTTCTGAGTCAGAGTCTTCAGTCTCTTCTGCTTTAGCAGGACCTGAGGATGAGAAACAATCAAATTAAACATGGAAACAAATCAGTTCGGACAAAGATAACAATTAATATCCAATTTCCTCACACTATGGCATAGTATAACCCTCCATTTGGCCCCTTAACTTAATTTTTCATTTCTATTCAGAAAAAAGAAATTGCAATGCAGATACCATTTTTTTTTGTTAATTTACTTATTCGGTGAATAATTTATATAGTATACAATTATGTGTGCATTATAACAAAACATAATACAAATAATAAAACAAAAGTAGCAGGGTACACATGGAATTTTCTTTATTATTGAAGCTTTTATATTGTTTATTTTTTATGTCAGTAAGTACAGTTATGTGTACCCTCTAATGGCTTCAAGAAAGGACCAGAACTTACTTTTGGTCTTTTTTGTCTTTTTGTCCTTGTCTTTGTCTTTGTCCCCTCCTGTCTGAAACATGGACGCTGGGTTTGAGCTGCTCTTCTTCTTCTTCGTCTTGCTGGTTTTGGTTTCTGGTTCGCTCTCATCTTCACTCTCAGATTTGGCAGCTGCTTTACGCCACATTTGCAAACATATGTATTATTCTGAATCAACAAATAGACATGCATATAGAAGAGCTCTCAAAACATTACCTTTCTTTTTACTCTTGGTTTCAGGCTTGTCTCCATTTATCTGAAACATGGAGGCTGGTTCCTTTTTCTTGGCTTTAGATTTACCTTTACTATCTACATCCTCTTTGACATCTTCATGAAGCAAACATAAATAAATCAAGTTACTGAATCTAACTAAACTAACTTTGTATCCCTTAATAGATGTTTAAAATAGTTTAAAGTACATGTGAACAGAGGACACCTTTTGATTTGGACTTCTTGTCTTTTTCCTTTCCATCAGAACTTTCTTTTGAAGTTTTTTTCTTCGTCTTCTTCTGAGGAGTGGTCTCTTCATCATCATCATCATCATCATCATCTTCTGTAGAACCTGTTTTGCAATAAACATATAAGTGATCAGATATATATATCTGGTACAGTTTGCTTTTCAAATGTCATGCTATTATCCTACTGGAAAGAGAAAACTTTATTATCACAGTTGTTTCTCCTAGACAGCAAGACAAAATAAGAGCAAATTGCTTTTTCCCCATTAAAAAAAAAGACTTTTTTATTATCCCACTCCAATTCTCTCACTAAAGGTTTTGAAAAGATCTCACCAATGTTCCAAACTGAGCTCAAAATATTAAAATCTGCAATCAAAATTTTGAGATCTCAATATGAGCTCAAACATTTCAAGATATCAAATAAATACATTTATTAAAGTATTACTAAGGTGATTTCAGTGTTCTTATTGTTAACTAAGACTAATTTTTGGTAACTGAAAAAGCTGAAATAAAATAAAATAAAAAAATTAAATAAATATTACATGACAATCTGAAACTGGAAAAACTTTCAGTTTTCAAAAACTGCATTGAAATTTGAAGAAATGTTGCCTTTGCAACTAACAGCAATAAAATAAGCTGAAATTACTAAAATAACAACAACTAAAACAAACTAAGTTAAAGCTAAATAACATGTAAATAAAATCATAATCATAAATAAAAAAATAACTAAGAAAAAATAACAATAACTAAAACTTGAAACTAATTTAAACAGTTGCTGTTTGTTTGTGGGTCTTTCTGTCTTTAGTTTTGTCTTCAGTGAGTGAAATGCAGCTGATTGAGATCAGGAGGTTGACTCGGCCATTGCAGAATATTCCACTTTTTACCTTCAAAAACCCTTGGGTTATTTTGCTATATGTTTTGGGTCATTGTCCATTTGTACTATGAAGCGCTGTCCAATCAACTTTGCTCCATTTGGCTGAATCTGTGCAGAATTCTTCCGGCTGCTTCTGTCCTCGGTCTCAGCTTCACTAAACACCAGTAACCCAGGGTCACTGGAAGCCATGCACGCTCATGCATCACGCTGCTCCACCATGTTTCACAGATGATGTTGGATGCTTTGGATCATGAGCTGTTCCAACCTTTTTCTTCCCGTCATTCTGGTACAGGTTGATCTTAATTTCATCCGTCCAAAGAATGCGTTTCCAGAAATGGTCTGGCTTTTTTAGATATTTTTTGGCAAAGTCTAATCTGGCCTTGTTTGCAGCTTGTGGTGAAGCCTCTGTATTTGCTCTGGTGAAGTCTTCTCTTGATTGTAGACTTTGACTGTGACACCCCTACCTCCTGGAGAGTGTTCTTCTCTTGGCTGGATGTTGTGAAAGGGTTTTTCTTTACCATGAAGAAGATTCTCCGATCATTGTATGTCCACCTCCGTGGACATCCAGCCTTTTTATATTGCTGAGCTCACCAGTGCGTTCTTCTTTTTCTCTGAATGTACCAAACTGTTGATTTGGCCGCTCCTAATGTTCCTGCAATCTCTCTGATGGAACTGTTTCACTTGTATGGAGAGATCCTTTGACTGCATGATGTGGGTTCACAGCAACAGCTTCCAAATGCAAATGGCACACTTCGAATCAACTCCAGACCTTTTACCTGCTTAATTGATGTAGAAATAATGAAGGAATAGCCAGCGCGTGTCCATGAAACAGTTTTTGATTCAACTGTCCAATTACTTCTGGTCCCTTGAAAAGGGGGGAGGTACATATTAAAGAGCTGTAATTCCTTAACCTTTCCTCCAGTTTAGATGAGAATACCCTCACATTAAAGCTCAGAGTGTGCACTTTAAGCCTATAATCATTATATAACTGTAACTTGAATATGTTTTGGTCAGCAGCTAAAATAATAAAAAGAATATTTTGGCCTTTTTTAGTTTTTTTAAATGTATTGTTTAATTCGATAATCAAATTAAATTCTCATACACAATGATATTAATGGTAATAGTAAACACTCAACATTTGACATTTGTGAATGTCAAATACATTCATAACTAGAAGTTCCTCTTATTTTTAAACACTATTAAACTCAACACTTTAAGACTTTATTAAAATGATAATCATAATTAATAATAATAATAATATTCATTAAAATAATTGCGTTCTTATGCATGCATCTGTTGACTTTTTAAATGCATATTATTTATTGTCATTTACTTTTGTGACAGACACCTGACATTAGCAGGCAAATAACTTATTACAAAATAGGTGCTATGGGGTTAATTACTTAATTTCATTGCTTCATATTTCCTCTGTAGGGTTGCTTTTTATCCTCAGCTTCACTCAATATGAATACATTGTTAGAATGGTCATATTGCACCACTTACAGGCAAGTAAAGGTGGTGCATCATTCCAGTGACAATTTTAACAATATGTGACCCAGGACCAAAAAAACAGTCATAAGGGTCTTTTTTTCTTTTCTTTTTATACATCTGCAAGCTGGATAAATAAGCTTTCCACTGATGTATGGTTTGTTATGATAGGACAATATTTGACTGAGATACAACTATCTGAATATCTGGAATCTGAGGGTGCAAAATAAATCTAAATATCGAGAAAATCATCTTTAAAATTGTTCTTAGCGTTCTTAGCAATGCATATTACTAATCAAAAATTAAGTTTTGATATATTTATTGAAGGAAATGTACAAAATATCTTCATGGAACATGATCTTTACTTGATATCCTAATGATTTTTGGCATAAAAGAAAAATCGATAATTTTGACCCATACAATGTATTGTTGGCTATTGCTACAAATATACCCCAGCGACTTAACACTGCTTTTGTGCTTCAGGGTCACATATAATGTATAAAATGCATGCCTGGAATTAATGTCAGGATTTACACCTAGGTAGCTGACGAATAACATGATTTGTTATTATTATTATTTTTTATTTATATTTTTATTTTATGTTAACATTTTATTCACATCTATGGGATTTAAGTTGGATTCAACATGGAACAACATTCCCTTTCCCCATACGATAAATATTCTCCGTCCTAATCAATATTTTATTATATTTATTTGGATGAATATTCTTTTCTGGCAATAATGTTAGTAAATTAAATTAATTACTGTATAAAATTGGTGATACATACATACATACATACATATATATATGCATCATCAAATATGTATCAGGGTCATAATAGTTAACTAAAGCCATTAAAAACATTAATTTTACTTTAAACAAACATTTGAATTAAAAACATATTTAATGTTTAACGTTTTCATTTAATGTACTAAAATAACTAAAACTGAAATAGAAAATTAGAGAAACTAAATAGACATAAAAAAGGCAAAATACACTACAAAATTATAAAAGATCAAACTAAAATTAAAACTTAAAATATAAAAATAATTTCAAACTATTAATAAAACTATAACAATGTCTCCGTGGTACTAAAATAACACTGATATGTATCATTTAATTAAATATTTTATTATATTTATTTAAGTAAATATTCCCTGCATGCCCTGATACTAGGCAGCAACAATGCTAGACATAGCAAATGAAATCTATTCAATCTTAATTTATGCAATGAATTAAATTATTTAAATTAATTACATTATTTAATTAATTTATTAATTAAAATGTTTAATTGATATTTTTACTATTTATTAATGTGTCATTCATATAAATATTTACTACTCTGACACTGGATGGCGATATAGTTAAATACGATAAATTAAATGTGGAAACTGGCTCAAGATCATGTTCTATGGTGAAATGAAGCTGTTTGTGCTGCAGTGCTTCATCCGGTGGCAAGATGGCGCTGTTTCCGCCTTCCTCCCGTTCACAGATCATGCCCTCAGAGGGCCAGTGAACTCAAGGAGGTTCAGAGGTGGAGCTCAAGATCTTAAAGAGACAGTGCAGTTTATGATGCAACTGTACAGTATTCTCCAGATCACCAGCGTATAACAAATAAAACTGGAGAACTGAAATGCTCCTCTTTACATATACATATTCTTTTGGTTCATATTTACATATAGACTAACAATAACTGATAGCATGCAGCATATAGTATAAATGTGTATTTACTTCAACTATATATGATCTTTATTACACCGAAACAGATTTATGAAATAAAGCAGAAGCAGAAGAACAGCTACTTAAGGACGTGACCTCACTCCAGCGGCTTTATTACTCACACTCACAATCACAAACAATGAGGACAACCCATGGAGATGTGGGTCAGAGGAGTGTACGCGCTCCTGAGGGACACGTGTGTGTGTGTGTGTGTGTGTGTGTGTGTGTGTGTGAGAGAGAGAGAGAGAGACTCAAACTAAACAAAGGCAACAGGATACTGCCTCACTGTACAACAAATGCTGGAACCAGCAGCAGATGAGCACACAGAGGAGAATAC